CACAACAACAACAACCCACAACAACAACAACAACAACAACAAACAAACAACAAAACAAACTCAAAACAACAACAAACAAAACGAAAACAAAACAAAAACAAAACAACAACAACAAAAAACACAATAAACAACAAAACAACAACAAAAAAGCAAAAAACAAAACAAAACACAAAACAAACCCAAACCAAACCAAAACAAGACAACCCAAAAAAGCAACCAAAAAACCCCCCAAAAACCCAAGTCAATTATTGCATAATATCCAGACTGCTTTCGGTCCTGAAACCAGAGCTCAACAGCAATGAACATATTGTGCCTCTTCTGCAAACAGGCCCGTTTGATGAAATCAATAGCACTGATGGGGATTGTTTCAATGATGCAAAGTACGATGTGGAACTTAAAGTAGAAATTATTGAAAAGATACCGCACTTAATTAGTGAAGAAGAGCTGAATGACTTTGTCGGAGATCTTTGTTAGTCCAAAGAAATGGTTGAATACTCTCTTCGATCAAGGCAAGGGAAACTCTTGGAGTGATAATGTGGCTAGTTCAATGAAGCCTCAAGTAAATCCGCATAAAGTGTTACCGTTCCCACTTCACATGAAGATGGGATTGTTAGAAATCTTTATTAAAGCTTCGGGCAAAAATAGAAACGGTTCTAACCCCTGAGGGATACATTTGGAAAAAGCGAAAGTGAAGAAAAGCTAAAAGAAGGTACATTTGTCGGTAGTCAAGGGTCGCCGAGTGTGGTCAGGATGACTCATTTAAGGATAAACTTAAACCACTTGAACCGGCAGTTTGGGAAACATTCTGTTCGCTCATCGAATACTTTTTTGGAACTGGAAATCCTTAAGCTGATAATTATTCTGAGTTGCTAGAGAACTTGAAAAAACATTTCTCTGAGCTGAGCGCTCAAATAGCCTTAAAATGCACTTTCTGCACTTGTATCTTGATTTTTTTTTCTTCCGATCTAAAATTTATAAATGATGAATACCGTTAAAGATTTAATCAAGAAATAAAGGGGATGGAGAATAGATTTCAAAAGCAAATTCAATCCAAATGTGACGGGAGATCACCGTTCATTTCTTCGGTGCAAAACGGGCACTCTTCACAAGCAAAAGTGCAAGAATTTCGAGCACTTTTTACTCATTGAGATGACACGGCTGACTTATAGGCCTTAATGATGTATTGATCAATAAAATCTATAGACATTTTCTTACTTTTAATTAGTTTTGTGTGTTGAATAAAAACAAAACGTTATTATGATTTACTTTTCGTCTTATTTATACTTTAATGTTAGAATGTTATAACGGCACTTATGTGACCTAATTGTGTTGCAAGTGCGGAAAAACTCGTAAAAACAGTGTTATAGGGATCAATGGTTACCAACATTATCATTAAAATGCGACGTTCTATCTTCGCCCAGAATGCTGATCTGAATTCAGCGACGCACACTTGTTTTTAACTAAACTCACTCAGTGTGTTTCAGATGATGGATAAAAAAGTTGAAATTTAGTGACCAATGTTGAAACCAGTCCTGCTGATTTTACGGGTCAGGCCACCACTCCAGAAAAATTCAACAAACACAAGCGCACTGTTCAGAAAAAAATGTCCTTTTCACCAGTTGGCCTCAAATAATTAATATTTATAGCCCTGGCTGGGGTGCAACCTATGGGACGCAGCTTGTGGGTATATGTGGTTAAAATGTGAGAGCATCCATATGGATCTAAAATTGTTGTTCCCAGCAAATACACACATCCATAAATCTCTCTCTCTCTCTCGCTCTCTCTCTCTTTCTCTCTCTCTCTCTCTCTCTCTCTCTCTCTCTCTTTGAGACCGCGCTCTCAGGTCTTTCAACAAGCACACACACACACACACACACACACACACACACACACACGCACACGCACAGACAGACACAAGCAATTTATTGTTTCACAGTCAACCAGTGGGTGGTTGGCGGGTGCTCTGGTGTGGTTCGCTTCTTCTTTCCTATCAAACATCTATCGTCCGTATCTCCACTTCATCCTTTTTTATGTTTGTTACTCTCTTGTAACACCTCTAATCTTCTGGCACTCATATGACCTTATGTAGTTGCGAGTGCCGTAAAACCTCTACTAAAACTAAACTAAACAGTCAGCCACCCCTAATTTTCCTCTTAACCTCTCATCCCCTCCCACACCCCACCCCCACTACCCCCCTCTAAAAAACCCCCCAGTAGCATAACAAAAAAGCAAACAAATAAACATAAACACCACAGCCACCACCACAACAGCAACACCAAAATAAAAAAAAGAAGAAAAACCAACCACAAAAATATCCAGACAACAACAACGATTAAACAGCAGTCAACAGGAATCAAAACGAAAACAAAAACCTACCCTCCCCCCCCCATTCCCCTCCCCCCAAAAAGCAAAAATACCCCAACAACAACA